ACTGACATTCTTAGTGACAGAGAATAAGAAAATTCATGTCTAAGGCTGATATCAAAAACAATGGAGATCTTGGGGATGAACATTTAAAATGCTTATAATTTCCACAGTACTAGTAGCAACCAGTGAAATGACAGATTAGCTATAATTTTAATAGAGAAAATCAAGGGAAAGGCCAGCTAAGAATAAGCCTCTTAGGATCAGAAAATGCCCCCAAAGACTGGTAACACCCTACCCCAGGAAAAAACAACACCCAAGTTTAATTGAATCAGACTATCAAAATTAAAAATAAAATAGAACAATAATCTAGCAATTAGCAGAGAAGCTAAAAACTAGATATCAACAGACTCAGACTGGCCAGGGGCTTAATTGGGAGATCAAGAAACTAGAAAGTTAAAGAGAATCCAACTAAAGCCACAATCATCCTTGGTAGCCTTAAAGACTGCACATACCGCAGCACAGTATTCCACTGTGTAGATGTACCATAGTTTTTTAATCCAGAGACAAAGAAGCATCGATCAGGCCATCAAACCTCAGAGGGAAAATAGGAGAGAGTGGGGGTAAAAGGGAGAGAACAACTAAAGGACGTATATGCATGCATATAAGCCTAGCCAATGGACAAAGGCACTAGCAGGGTAAGGGCATGAGAGGGGGTTGGGGATGGGGAGAAAAGGGGATAAAAACACATATGTAATACCTAATCAATAAAGAAAAAAAAAAAAAAAAAAGACTGCACATAACCAAGGCTGCATCCTCTGAGCAGTGACTGCACATTATAGGAGAAAATAGGTTCCACTGAACCACTCCAGCCAATTCACTAAACTAATAAAAAAAAAACAAACAATAGACACCAGAAAAATGGGGCATGAATCAGTGTCCATACCTAATACACTATATTGTATTAACAGAAAGACCTCTTCTCCATTAAATTTGACAAATTTAGCCTGTCTGTAAAGTTTTGCTGCCAATATTTGTTTTCTTTATAATCTAGTCTGATTAAAAATTACTTAGTACTAGGATAATACCTTATTTTACAACATGCACCTAGATAAGGAAGAAATTAAGATAAAAAGAAGTACAATAGTAATACCGTTGAAATTAGCTAGTTATTAGTAATAGAAAAGGAGCAAAGGGAAGGCCAGACAGTATAGGCAAGTTCCCTGCAAAACACTGGGAAAGGGGCCTAGACAAAGGGAAGATAGATGCATTCCCAGTAAAATTGGGGTGACAAGCAATCACCCTGGGGAAGAGGTTGTGGGCCAGAATGAGCATGGCCATTACAAGTCCTTAAAGATTTGGGATACTTAATCCCAAAACAAAGAAGTTTTTGCTCTCTTGGTGCATTGCACTTGACTCCTGGCTTGTGGGATTCTTTTGCTCCTGCTTCCCTGTTTTTTCCCATATGGCCCACGGCCATAGGGACCCCACACACAATGGACTAATGGACTGTAACTACCCTGATGCTGAATTGGACCCAGCTCCAACATTGAAAGGAAACTCTGGACACTGGCTTTGCTTTGCTCCCCAGCTACAATTCTTCTATGACTGGACTAAGGGAAATGGGATTTTAGAAACCGAGGGATGCAATTCCATAGAAATAAAGCTTTCTACCATATCTCATCCTCCCATAGGTGCTTCTGGAAATGATTATTCCAGGGGCACCTCAAGAACCCCACTTCCAATGATAACAATAGGAAATTGTAGACCAGATAACTAAGATGACTAAGACCATAGGTCTTTAAGAAGAGTTTCAAAGTAGTAATGAAGGGGGGCATTATTGCATAGTAAAGTAGCCAGCTTTATATAAGAAATGCAAGAATCAAAAGAGTTTAACCTAACAACATGGTAAAAGAACCCTTCCTTCAGTTCCTACTGTACTAATCATTTTTAAAAGTTATTATCGATTATCATTTGTTTTCCACCACTCTTTCTCTTTTTAAAAGTAAATGTTGGCATTAAGTCCCAAGTTTATGCTAATGCATAATCATGTCAGTTGTCACTCAATTATCACTTTCAACAATTAATCTAAATTATGTACAGCACTTTGTTTTTTTTCTTTCTTTGAAGTTCATTGAATTTAAAAGTCAAATTTTTTTTTCCAAGAAGAATAAATTGATGGAAGATGGAGGCTGAGATTAAATTAGGGGGAATCATTGATCAAGGATGCTTGAAATTCTTATGAATACAAATAGCCTATCAAGGTTAATGAGGTTCAACTCAAGTTTAGAGAAGAAAAAAAATGCACTTAGTATTTTCTATGCACATACAGATTTAAAATCTTAGGTATAATTTGACAGGTAAATTATGCAAACTCAAACATACCTTTCATTTGGGTTTTTTTTACAAGCTATTTTCACTGTTTTTCCTCCAGTGTAAAATAACTGCTTAAAATATATATTCTGGATCAACAAAAACTAATGCAATTAGTGAGAAAGAGCAAAGGTCCTTCTAAATACTGACAACTCTTCCAGAAATTATGTGCTTTTAAGGAATGACTGGACAAGAAGTTAGCTTTAAAATATAACCATAAAAAATGCTCTATAGTATTTTATTTCCATCAACAATCACTAATTCAGTACCTAATATGGGTAAGACATTAACGGAGAGACAAAGGGATTCAGAGGTAAGACCTGGTTCTTAACCCACACTCTTAATAACAGGGGAAGCTTTCTTCTGCAGCCCTGTTTCTCTTTTATTTCAACCCATTTTTAAATCTTAAAGAAATATCCCAGATGACTTTAAGACCATGTGAGAAAGATACCATAAAAATACTAGAGATGTGGGCAAAAGGATGGTTCAGGAGGAAGGGTTATGGCTTTGTAACTGATATAACCCAAGAATGCTTCAGAAAGAATAAGGTTTAGGATTTGCACAAAAGGAGAACATTCCAGAAGCAGTGGACAACTGGAACAAAGGAAAACAGATGGGACTAGAGAAGTTTAAGAAAAAATGAGTTGACAAGACTGTTTCAGTTTCTGTAGGAGAGTGTTAATAGGTCAAGTAAAGGATAAAGACAATAATCAAACAAACTAAAAGGCATGCAACTATATAAATGTTCTTGGCCCTGACCAATAATCTCATTCTGTGCATCTTATTTATATTTGGCCCTTACAAAGCAACAAAAGATTAATTTCCATTTTTTATAGAGTCTATAAGTCAGCACCCCATATAACCTAAAACTTTCTAAAACTAAAGCAAAAACTAAATGCTTTTGAATTAAATTTCAATAAAATTCCCAACTGTTGGGGGTTAAATTGAGTTATCCATGACTTATCTCTCACAAAGTCTACACTAAATTTCACTTTGAGAATAGCTTGGGAATAAAGATATTCAATGGGCCTCCACAAGATATGAAATACAAACAAGTCATAATCATAAGTGTCACTAAATCTGAAACAACAGATGTAATTTAATTATTTTATTTTTGAAAATAAGAAAAAAAAAACTGGTTAATAGTTATTTCTTCCAAGATGAACAATGTCTTTTTATGCCTACCTTTTCAATGGCAACTGGGGGAAAACTCTTTTATCATCCAAAAGGGTTTTGAATTAGACTTGAAACAAATTCAAAGAATTTTCTGCACCAATTTTAGTATGTCACCTGCATAGGGACAAGGAAATCTGCTGGGTTTTTGTTCACTACTATGTCCCCAGCATTTAGAATAGTACCTGGCACATAATAGACAGCCATTAAGTATTTGATTTGTAAGTAATGTTCAACCTCTCTCTCCAGTTGTTTTTCATATTCAAAGAACTTTTTTCAATTTATTCCATTAGTGGTAAATGAAACACACACACACACACACACACACACACACACACACACAATGGAAAATAAGGAAAGAGAGAGGAGCGAAGGAGGGATTGGAAGGACAGACCAACATGTGGTCATACACAGCTTAGCAATGAGATTTTTCTCCCTTTGATCTTCATTAGTATAGTTTAAAAAAAAAAAAAAAAAAAAAAAAAAAAAACACTTAATTTTGGCAAAATAATCATATTTTAGCACTTTTGTCCGAGGATCAAAGGCTAAAATAATATCCATGAAACAAACTTTAAAAGCCCTACAATTACAAATGCTCTGAGAATATTTCTGATAAGAAATTATTAAACATGTAGAGGGCTTTGCAAAAAGTATGTCAATATTTCATTATCTTTACAATTTAAATCTTGAACCAAATCTAAAATACATTTTCTATTAACTCACTGACAAGATGAAAGAGAAACTAAACTACAGTCACATTAAATATTTCCTTTGGATGATATAAAGTTCGATGCTTTTAACGTCGATTTTTTAACTTTTATTATAATTTAGGAACTTCTTCAAATGTGGCAACTTATTACAAATAAAACACAGCTTCACTAATAAAAACACATAGAAGACTGATACAGATATACATCCAAGTGTGTCATCCATGTTTGACTTAATTTGCATAATGATCATTGAAATTAAGCCATTTTCTTTTTATGAAGTTCTTTCCTTTGATTTTTAATATTTTTTTTATAATTACCCCATCTGTGCCAGAAAAAAAAGTGAGCAGGAAATGGTAGCTGCCTACTTACACTTCACTCATGGTTACATCATTCACAATTATTATATAATCTTCAATTAATACAGGTATCACAGCTCTACCTCATGCAGAACAGCTAGAGATTTGAAAGCCTGTGCGGTTTCAAAAATGAAATTTTTGCTGTGCCTTATGCCAGTTTCACCCCCAAAATAAATGATACTTCACTGTTCCTTCAGAGAAGAATGGCCCCTTCCATCTGTAGGAAGGGCTCCATTGATACTAGAACAAAAATATTTTCAAGTTTAATAGTTTCCTGGCTTTGAAGTCCAAATGAAAGAGAAATGAATCCATAGAAATTTCTGTATAACTTTACATTATCTATACCAACCTAGCGTTCATAAAATATCACAATCTTCATATTAAAAATGCATTAAGCAATTCTGTGAAACAAAACTAAAGTCCTTTGAATATGGCTTGAAACTAGCAAAGTCACCTCCACTTGTGCTGCCAAATGTGCTTTCTCCTGGTCTTTCCGCTCCACGCTCCGCTTCACTTCTTCCAGCTCAGAGGCCATGGCGCTGAAGCTCAGCTGGACTCTCAGCTCCGACATCTGCTTCTCCAGATCCACTTTTTCTCGCTCAACGCCTTCAAAGAAAAAACGTAAAGCTTGATGGCTGTTCTTTATTCTCAGAAGAATGTACTTTCAAATGGCACAAAGCCTTGATGTTTTAATATTCCAGCTAATATAATCCACTTATTAACACTGTCACTCAACAGACTTCATGATTTGTCAGTCTATTGTTTCAAGTCCCATGCAGTTTTCTACAATATTATTCCACTTTGATATAAAACTTAAAATGTTATCTGCTTTCCAGTACAATTTATTTCAGGAAAATCCTACACCTTTCTTTTTCTTTCAGTTTCCTTATATCCCCACATTATCTTCAAAGTCTAACAAAAATTCTGAAAGAATTTTCAACTTGGCTATTTCCAACTGAAGTTACTGAAGTTCACAAAACAAAATGCTTTTCTTGCAATATAAGCACATGATGCCGTTGACTCTCTGTTTGTGCATGACCACTATCATACTAATTCTGGGACTACTACCTAAAATTATGTCACTGAACAATAAAAATGACTTAGTATTTAACTCAACATGAGACACTTGGTCTATGATGCAAAGCACACTTTAATAACATCATCTTCAGAGGTAAATAACACAAAGACCCTTTCTCAATGAGCTTGCAGTACAAGAATAGAATCAAGACATAAAGAACTTCCATGAATCTAAGATGTCAAAAATTGGAACATATACATTTAAAACTACTGTTTTTCCAGTAGTTTCCTTTCTAGAAAAGGAAAGATGGAAAGAAACACTACCAAAACAAATTTATAGATCATTTATAAGACACCAGGCGGCTCCAGGCTGGCCAAGGTGGGTGCCAGCAGGGACTCCTCCCTCACCCATAGTCCCAACAGTTGCCCCACTGAAGGAGGCAACCAGCGGCCAGAGTGGGGAATGGGTCAAGCAAATGAGCAGTACTAAGCCAGCCAAAGCAGGTGCTAGCAGTGGCAGCAGGAGGCAGGGTCAGCAAGTGGGTGGCACCAGGCTAGCCAAGAGGGGTGCCATCAGGGGCCCTCTGATTGCCCACCAGTCACCCCAGAGATCGGCCCTGATCGCCGGCCAGGCCTAAGGTCTTACCCAGGCATGAATTTCATGCACCAGGTTTCTAGTGATACTATAAAGGTGGTTAGACATCATCATATATTTGTCTAATCTCACAGAATACACAACACCAAGAATAAACTCTAATGTAAACTATGGATTTTGGATAACAATGACGCATCAGTGTAGATGCATCAGTTATAACAAATTTATTCCTCTTGGGGAATGTTGATAATGGGGGAGGCTACTCATGTGTGTGGGCAAAGGGTATATTGGAAATCTCTGTACCTTTTGCTCAATATTGCTATAAACACAAAGCTAAAAAAATAAAGTATATTTTTAAAATAATTGGATATTACATTATTATCTTGTTTGAAAACCTTGTGGTAGATAAAGAAATAGATAAGATATCCTGATTGGGTAGCTCAGTTGGTTAGAGCATCATCCTGATATGTCAAGGCAAGGGTGTGGTCAGGGCACATATAAGAAGTAACCAATGAATGCATATTTAGGTCTAGTAATAATTAATGTCGTTTTCTAATACTTTTTTTAAATCGATTTAAACAATACAACAAAATTTAATCAACAATATAGTTGCCGTTGTTTTCTACTACTTGTGCCCAACGCTCAGGAAGCATTTTAATTCCTCTGTTGTAGAATTCTTGTGATTTTGATGCAAAAAATTCGGTCAATGCATTTTTGAGGCATTCTTCATTATTAAATTTTTTTCCAAGAAGAAAGTTTTGCAAAGAACGAAACAAATGGTAATCGGAAGGGGCAATATCAGGAGAATATGCAGGTTGAGGGAGAACTTCCCATTCCAACTGGCGCAGTTTTTCAGCAGTGATTCTTGCAGTATGCGGTCGTGCGTGCGTTATCGTGGTGAAGAATTACGCCCTTCCGATTAATCAGCGCGGGTTCTTTTTCTCTTAAAGCTTGGGCTAACCTTTCCAATTGGGCACTATACACTGCACTTGTAATGGTTTGGTTAGATGGTAAAAGTTCATAATGAAGAATTCCTTTAAAATTCCACCAAACACACAACATCACTTTTTTCGCATGCAAGTCAGGTTTTGGCGTGGGCTGCGGAGCCTCATTTTTGTCCAACCATTGAGGCCGCCTTTTCAAATTAACATACAGCACCCATTTTTCATCTCCGGTAACAATTTGCTCTAAAAACGGCAAACGGTTTTGACGAGAGAGGAGCGAACTGCAAATTGTGACTCTTTGATTACGGTTGTTGTCGGTCAACTCATGAGGAACCCATTTTCCAAACTTTTGGACTTTGCCAAGTGCACGCAATTGATTGGAAATTGTTTTTTTGTGAACAATTTAAAGTTGTCGCAAGCTCTTGTTGGGTAATTTGAGGATTTTGCACCAAAAGAGCTTGAAGAGCTTCTTGATCAAAATTGGACACACGGCCTCAACCACTCTTGTCATCTAACAAAAAATTTCCCTCGCGAAATTTCTCAAACCAACGCTGGCATTTTCTGGCGCTAACTGCATCTTGACCAAGAGCACTACAGATGTTTTTTGCAGCCTCACTTGCTTTCTTCCTAATTGGAACTCGTAAAGCATGCAGTGCCGAATATGCTCTTCATCCGCCATCTTCTTAGCCCTAGTTTTGCAACAAAAACCGAACCAAACACAAACTTTTTCAAGCAAAACTTGTTAATTGCACTTCACACGTTCTGTAGATACCACGTGTTTGAAGGTTATGTCAATACAAGTCAACGCCAAGCAAGATTTTAAACAAATGTTTAAAAACGACATTAATTATTACTAGACCCGATATAAGTGGAACAACAAGTCGATGTTTCTCTATCTTTCAAATCAATTAAAAATAATAATAATAAAAAATAAGTTGATAAAAGCACATATGGATTTCAATTCTGAAAATGGCAAGTATTTAGGAAAGATTCTTTAAAAACCTATTTACAAATCAAATTTATACCTCTCCTAAACCTCCGGTCATCTCCCTGTTCATCCTGATGGTTTAACTGTTGGTTGGAAATCTGAGATACTTGATGTTGTAAACCCTTTCGATCACCTTCTGCTTTCATAAGTTGTGTACGGAGTTCTTCCACCTAAATACATATAGTCAAAATTAAGTTTTAAAAGTAAAGAAAAAAGAATAATTGAACTCATAGATTATTTTCCTAGGGAAAAAGTTTACTTCTACTGGGCTGTGCAACCAGAGTTGAAGCCAAGTTAATTTCCTTGTCATGCAGAACCATGGAATAGTCTCTTGCTCCATTTCTTTATTCCTCCCATTCCTTCCATAAAGAATGAATGTCTTTTACCCTTCTCTGTGTCTACTATGACAAAGAATTTGACCAAATTTTAACAAAACCTTTATTTGAACCTACTACTATTAACCCAAACCACCAACAATTAAATACTGCATGTTTTCATATTTTTCATTCACTTATTTCATGTGAACTTGGTCTATTGATTGGTAAACTGATGAAAAATGGTCACAGCATATTTTGATATCAAAGTACTGTTCCAAATAATGAAGCAATAAATGCTACTGAATAAACTGTAAATGCCTTGAGGTCAAGGACTATTTTACTCATCTCTGTATTCCTAGAGGCTAGAAAACTGCCTAGCACATACCAGGTAAGTCCCCAGTGAGCATTAAACAAGTTAGCAGTGGCCAAAAGAGTGAACTAAAGTCACAGTGGCAACCCAAACACAGAAATCTTTAACTTTAAAAGATGTCATTATAAAGTACAAGTCAGAGTTTGGTGTGGTTTTTTAAAAAAAAAAAAAAAAAAAGAGTGGAATTAAATATAAATATATACTTCCAAAAAAGAAAGGCTGAACTCTGCCAACATTAATTCCAATGGACCACTTGCTGCAGAATAAAGCCAAGGAACATTTTTAAAGATTTTGTAAAACAGGTATGATAGTGTATTTTCAGCACTAATTGTCAAAATGTAATACCACTTCTGAATGTCTATAGGATTTCTGACATCTTTGCCTATCTAGCATATTGTGTAATGAGTTATGTAACCCACATTTCAAAACAGAGGAAGTAACAATTGCATTTTATGTTAAATACAAGCAGAGAAGCAGTTAGTTGGAAAACATAAGGCTTATCCAAAGAATGTAAGACAGCTATTTCAAGTTATTGAACTTTAAATATCAGAGGAGTCAAGCTCCCACTATGGGCTAATAAGCTGTAAAATCGTATGCTTTAAAAGCAAGCCTTAGGTTTGGTTAAAAGGGGGCAGGTAGCATCTTAAAAATGTGAATACAAGACAATAATGCATTCAAAGTAACCCGAACATGCAAAAGTCTGTTTTATGCATTTTGCTGCTTCCTTCACTCTCCAATGCCTCCTTGAGGAAAATTAAGCCTCTGGGAAAATTTTATCTTACACATCCAGTCTCACATGCTAAGAGAGATAAGACCAACATGTGGGAAAAGCCATCAGTAAAATACACGATCACAGTGGAAACTTGGGCTGGTGTTTTTGCTAGCTTTCTCAGAATCTTCCTGAGGATTTCATCTTTCACTTATGTATATACTGATATACATTCCTTAGGAAAAAATTATTCAAGAGCTAGGCTTTTCCTTTCAAATGACATTTAATAAAGAAAGAAATTCAATCCTGATTTCATTTAAAAGCAGCTTATAATAGCCTGCATAGATTTACCTGTTGCAAAAGTGTTTCTCTGCTGCCTTCTGACTGATTCAGTAACCTTCGAGACAGCTCCAATTCCTGTTCAAGCTAGAGTGTCAACAAAGAATAAGGAAAAATGTCCAATGGGATGCAAGTTCTCTAAATTATATGGACACAACTTAAAAGGCAAAAAGAGGGAAAGTTTTCAGAAGATAATATGGAATAATTAATACCTTGCTATAAACACATATTAATGCTTCCATTAAAATAATGTTAACTACATAACAAAAGTGAGCCAGACCAGACTTCAAAAGGGCTGGGTTCTAATCAGTTCCATCCCAGCTATGACCTTGTTTAAATCTCTTTTCCTTAGATCTCCTTTCTGTTGCCTTTAAAATAAGGATTGCATATTAAACAACTTCTGAAATTCCTTCCAGTTTGAAACCATTTTAATTCAAATTCTAAAACAATTCTGTCTTTAAATTAGTACATGTATCATATGAACTGAAATAAAATAAAAATTTCAGAAACCCAATTAATCAAAGTATATTTTGTCCAACTGATGATTTTATAAATTTTATATTCCTAATTAGAGGCCTATTGCATGGATTTGTGCACAGGTGGGATTTCTTGGCTTGACCTGCGGGATTCGGACCAAACCCAGCTCTCTGACATTCCCTGAGGGATCCCGAATTGGAAGAGGGTGCAGGTCAGGCAAAGAGACCACACCGGTGCATGATCAGGCTGGGAATGGACCAGAGGAGGGCTCCAGGGCACATTTGGCCCATCTTGTCCAGTCCCCATCAGCCAGACCCCAGCAGCAAGCTAACCTACTGGTTGAAGATTCTGCTTCCTGGTGGTCAGCGGGTGTCATACAACAGTCAAATGGTCAGACATTTAGCATATTAGGCTTTTATTATATAGGACATTTCCAGCATCCCATAACATTCCTAAAGTTTTTAAATATTACGTTCAGCCCTGGCTGGGTAGCTCAGTTGGTTGGAGCATTGTCCCATACACCAAAGGTTGCAGGTTCACTTACCAGCCAGTGCACATACTTTGGTTGTGGGTTCAATTCCCTGTCAGAACACATACATAGGTTTTGGGTTCAGTCCCCAGTAAGGGCACATACAAGAGGCAACTGATAGATGTTTCTCTCACACATCAATACTTCTTTCTTCCTCTCTCTCTCTCAACACCCCATCCTCTCTCTAAAAATCAATTAAAAAAAACATATCCCTGCCTGGCCACTGTGGCTCAGCAGATGAGCATCGACCTCTGAAGCAGAAGGTCATGGTCCAATTCCCAATCAGGGCATGTGCCAGGGTTGTGAGTTTGATCCCCAGGAGGTACAGGAGAAAGCCAATTGATGATTCTCACATCAATGTTTCTTTTATTTTTCTTTTCTCATCAATGTTTCTATCTTTCTATCCCTCTCCTTTCCTCTCTCTCTAACACATCACGAAAAAACTTTTTTTTTAATTTAAAAAAGAAAAGTAGAGTGGCCAGATGATAAGGTAGCAAACGACCTGTACATGTTTCTAGGAGCAAGTGGCAAAGTGGCAGAACCTTCAAGCCAAGTGTCTCCACATCAATCCAGAAAGGCTTCACTGAGTTCTAACAAAGGATCTCAGGCACTCAAAAAATATCACTGCCTCAAACAGTACTACTCTTTGGAATATAACTTTCAAAACCTTACTTGGTTCTTCTCAGTTTCAGTTTGTCTTAGCTTGTTTTGCATTACTCCCTCATCATCTGTTTTAGCTTCTTGTTTCTTCAATGCCTAGAATGAAAGAGATGAAGAAAGTGTATCAGACTAAAATACATATAAAACTGAAAGACACTACTAGGACTTACTAAGAAAAGGCTGAAAAAAAATGAATATGAGTTGTACAACAAATTTTTATTTTAAGTCATATAAAGGGCTGAACTTAGATATTTAAAAACTTTAGGATTGTTATGGATGTTGGAAATATCCTATATAATAAAAGCCTAATATGCTAAGTGTCCGACCATTCGACTGTTCTATGACACACACTGACCACCACAACCTTACAGAATGGATATAAAGACTAAGTAATTTGATACAACCTGCTCATTCACTGAAATCCTAAGAACATTCCAGTTAAAATCAAATATAAGCAAATTCCTAATCTTCCTAATCAATTTTCACTCAGTTTCACTTTTTTCCCCCATCTTTGAGTATTTTGTTACACAATCAGAAAGTGCAGACAGCTAACGGTTTTCTTGGAAACAAGCAAAGCTTACTGCCTGCTGAAATGATGGTATTTAAAAATTACATTATCTGCTCAACAATTTAGATATAATACTAAAAACTAGCTCACTAATTTTCCAAATTATGAAAAAAAATATCATCGAAGTAGAAAGATGCTTGTTGCATCATTATTACACATATGACATTTTATCACAACATATAATTGGCTTTTCAAACCATACTTCACACGGGGGGGAAAGCATTCTTTTCTACATTTTTTTCTCATTAATAAAATGGAAAAAAAAAAAAAAAAAAACCTAATACAAATGTCAAAAATTAACCGCAAAAGTATTTGTTTGGGTTTGTTTCTATATTAAATTTAAGGGGAAATTTATACTTGGAACATCTTTCATGACATGGAAAAAGCATTCCATTTATTCAAAAATGTTTTGACAATCTTAGCATTTAGACTTAGAAGGTGTCTATGTAGAGACAATCCAAACTGAGAAATCCAAACTGTCGTAAGTCTTTTCCAACAGGACCTATAGAAAAGCAATTTTTAGGCAGACAGCAGAACATGTTAAAAACTGTCTAAATATAAGTGTAATATTCAATTTCATACACTTATATACCTAACAAATGACTTCTATGTGCATTTATAACATGCAATGCTCTGTGCTAGGGGCTACTAATATGTGTGTACATATTATAAAACAACCATGCCCATGAGATTATGGCTCTGCCATGGCTCCTACTCCCACAAATAAAAAGTAACTGATGAAAGACACATCATCAGAGATACAGAAGCATGGAACAGACTTAAGAATCTCAGAGAAAAGGCAGGGGTGGAGATGGGGAGACAGATGAACCTAAGAACTTATTTGCTTATATGCATAATCCATGGACACAATGGTGTGGTAAAGGCCTTGTGGGGTTGGGGGGTGGAGGGGGTGGAACAGCAGTAGAATGGAGGTGGTCAATAGGGAAAATTTCAACAACAAAGATAATTTTTTTTTTAAAAATAAATCATCAGAATGAAAAATACTTTGAGTATAGTAATATTATAACACTTTTATAGCATTTACCATATCCAGGCATTCTGCTTCTTCTCACATATGTTTAAAATATATATATTACATATATTGAATATAACATTTACTCCCTATGATAATTCCATGTGTTATTAGTAAGCCCATTTTATGAAGTGGGAAGTTGGAGTACAAGCTATTGAATAACTTGCCCATTCTAACTAGATCATTCAACCTAGTTAGTGACAGAAACAGGATGTAGACTCAGGCTCTCTGAGGAAATAATAATATCAACCTAACAGGACAGATATGAAGACTAAATAATTTGAAACTTATAAAGCATTAAAAGGTATAATAAAAGACTATAATAATTACTGAATTGTTAACATTGATAGAGTATTACAATTATAATATTTTCAGGTAGCTATCAAGTGATTTTAATGTTTGCTTTTTGTTCTTCATTATAGGGTAAATTTTATAATAATATTTAATTCTATATATACATAATCTATTCAATTTTGGCTTGTTGGAAAATTCTCCAGGGAAGAAATTTTTCCATTTTACTAACTGGAATTAATCCATTTCTGTCCCTTTTTTATGATTTCCAAAACTCACATTTTTCAAGTCCTATAACACTTTACATAAAAAAAAACAAGAAAGTTATATTAACATTTCCCATATGTTTGCAGACTTCATTTTGATTAAGTGCATTGAGATATGCTTAACTCACATTTATATACTTAATTTTTTTTACTTAGACATTCAAACTGATCCTTGTTTATCCAGAGGCTTACATTTCCAAAGAGTAATACAAAAGCTTTGGTGTCACTACCGTGTAAGCTTCAGATGGCCAGAAACCTCAACTGTTAAGATCACGTTTTACTTCTAACACAAGCCTTGGCACATTTTAGGTGGCAAACCTATGTAATTGAAATGGATGAATAAATATCCCTTTATAATCTCTGAATAGCAATTTCATCTTTCAGTTGGCTTGGCCAATGCTGTTCATCATATACATGTAAGTGTTCCCAATTTCTCCCACCTTTATTAATTGCCGTATTTTCTCAAGCACCAAGTTGTTTTTCTTTCTGGGAAAACAATTATAATGGTGGAGTAATATGGAAAAATAAATATTTGTTTTGGGGTTTAAGTCAAAGAGTTAATTAATAACCTTTTCCTGTTTCACAAGTCATCATTTTAGTCTTTTTTTTTTTTTTGAGGGAGGAAGAGGGAGAAGGGGAGGAGGAGGGGGAAGGAAGGAGAGGGGGAAGGGAGGGGGATGGTAGAGGGGAAGGAGGAGGGGGAGGAGGAGGGGGAGGGGGAGAGGGAGAGGGAGAGGGAGGGAGAAGGGAGGATAGGGGGAAGGGGGGGATGGGAAAGGGGAAGGAGGAGGGGGAGGGAAAGGAGAGGGAGAGGAAGAGGAAGAGGGAGAGGAAGAGGGAGAGGGAGAGGAAGAGGAAGAGAGAGAGAGGGAGAAAGACCCTGATTGGTTGCCTTCCGCATGTGCCCCAGGAAGTGTGGGGATGGAGCCTGCAACTGAGGATGTGCCCTTGACTGAAATTGAACCCTGGACCCTTCAGTTCACAAGCCAAAGCTCCAACCACTGAGCCAAAGAGGCTAGGGCTAGTCTTTTCCTTAGTAAAGAAAGCTCATGAATTGGTTTATTTTTAAAATAATTTAAGTTTACAGAACACTTGAAAAAATATGATAGCTCAAAGTTACCATATACCCTTCATAGTTGTTTCCTAAAATTAACATCTTATATGATCATGGTATGTTTATCAAAACTAAGGCATTAACATTGTTGCAAAACCATTAAGCTATGGCCTTTATTCAAGTTTCACATGTTCTCTTTTGTACCAAAATCCAATTCAGGGTACTTTGGAGCAGCTTCCAATCTGTAAAAGTTTCTCAGTCTGTGAAAGTTTCTCAGTCTTTCCTTGTTTTTTGATCTCAGCATTTGTGAAGAGATACTCCAGGTAAATTCAAGTCAGTTATTTTATAGAATTTCCCTCAATTTGGGTTTTCCTGGTGTCTTCTCATGATTAGACAGGGCTCATAAATTTGGAAGGGGTGTGGAGGACACAACAGAGGTAAGCGCCCTTCTCATTGCATCACATTGCAGGGGACACAGTATCAGCATGACTCAGGACTGAGGATATTAACTTTGAGTACTCAATTAAGGTAAGGTGGTATCTGCCAAATTTCCTTACCATAACATTAGTCTCCTTTCCACACACTATTTGTTAAAAGAGTCACTAAACTCAGCCCATACTCAAAGAAAAAAAAAGTTAAGCTCTACCTAGCAGAGGGAGAGTTTCAAAGAATGTGTGGAAATATGTTAAAATCACCAAAGTAACTAACAAATATTTTACTAGATTATTTTGAAGCTATGCAAGTATCATTAAAGTTTCACCCACCAATTTTAGCTCAAAGCCAGACCAACTATAACACTATGAGTTCTTTTTGGCCTACAAATTTTCCCCCATCAAACCTTACAGTCTAATGTAACCCAGATTCCTAGTAAGTTAACTTACAGGCCAGTGCCCACCAGTAAGCAGAATGTGAAACCTCTTTGTATTCATCCCAAGATAACTTGCTTACACCAAAAAGCACTGAGTGGTCTAAAATTTATATAAGGCTACCTGCTTACATCAAAAGCATTGAGTGATCTAAATTTTACATAAGGCTACGTAGATGTACTCACACTCATCAAAGCCCCATCAAACATTGGGTATCCTCTAAATTATCTTTTGCAACTCTACCAACCAGGAATTACCCTTCTTTCCTGTTCCCCTACATCCTGCCCAGCCTCATTAGTTGTTTTTTGTTTTGTTTTGTTTGCTGCTTCTGGACCTTCCCCACATGCTTCTAAATTTCTGTCCAAGTTATGCAGAGCAATTTGCCTCTATTTTAGTTCTCAATTTTGAATGCTCATAACCATGTCCAACACTCCCACTTGCCCCACCCTATAAAGAAAGGACCTGGCAGTTACCAAGAAACATCTCCTTAAAGGGCAATATGGGAAATAATTACTCTTATTATCACACTAACAGATATCTAATCTTCATTTCTTATATAATAAGTATTAACTTTACTTGCTGTTAAAGGAATAAAAATCAATAAGCTGAACTTTAATTAATTAAACTGTGTTTTCTACTTCTAGTACATGAAATTTTACCCTATAAAAACATAATTCTTCTGGAAGTGAACTGTTTTTTGAAAAATCCAAATTTCCATATATGAGCTTGTTGAATAAGAGAACCTCTAATTCCCTTGGATATCTAGGAATTTGTAGTAATATTTCCTTTTCTCCTCAGTTTCCATCTTCAACATTTGACCAGTTATTTATAATAACACTTTTCTAAAATAATATATTTTTCTATTGCAGCTCTACTTAGTGTCTAAAATGTTGTTTAATACTCTTCTTTTTTATTTCTCATTTTACTCTAAGGATAAGTAAGTCTTGGAAAACTCAGTCAGTGAGAACTTAAATCTTATTGTTTTCAGTAAAGGACAAAAAGTGAGAGATTGAGGATC